TTGATAGAGAGGGTTAAACGTGTTGAAAATAAAAATGGTAATTTTAAAGTTGAATCAAGCCCCTCCGGAATATTTTTACTCCATCATCAACACCCGACTTCTTTTTATACAGCGCCTTCTCAAAACTTGCTAGCGTTTTTCAAGGTTCAGTCTGTCAACAAGAATTCACTCAACTCATTTATTTTGAAAAGATACGACGATTCACGCTTGAATAAATTTGTCGTTCGAGTCACTGGCAATGAAAAATATAAGACTACATAGAATTGAACAGCACGTGGACTTTTTTACTTCCGCGTATTTCAAATTTTTTTATTCATAAAAAATTATAACAGATGTTCACGATTCTATGCAATAGGAAAAAGTTTGCCCATTTGTTGAAAGATAAAAAACAAAACATCAATGAAAACTGGGTCCTCGCGTATTCTCACGGCAAATATAGGTAAATAGAAAACTCCTCTAATTTTTATTTCAAAGGAACGAAGATATTCATCATGATTCAATATGATCCCGAAAAACAATCTCAGACCTTCACGTGCTTGAAAATAGTACGGTATTTATTGAGAGAAACAACAAAAAAAGGACTCGACTCACCTTCGATCGCAGTCAGGGTAAAAACGGTGTCCAAGTCGTGTTTACCATCAGATAAAGCGTAAAGCCGTTCGATCAGAACTTCCTCATTCGTCGGGTAGATGGCGACGTGGTCTCCAGATTCATAACGGATCCTCGATCCGGTTATGTCAAATTCCAGATGCATGCAGTTCCGGTCGCCATTCTTGTGGATCTCTCGATGAGCCACAATTGTCGCTAAGAACGGGTTCTTTGCATCAAATGGCCTGTGAAATTGAAGGGAAAATTGAATAGATGGCAGGAAAAACTGTATGTAATACAATAACCTCCCATATTCGGACATTCACTCAATTTCCTGGCAAAGCACCAATGAAAACATTGCTGAACTGAATCACATACAGTCAACCCTCAGTTCAGTGCCACAAATTTATCTTATAAAAACTCTCTTTATCACGTTCTTAAGGGAAACCCTGATTAAGTTCTGATTAACTCACTTTATGTCACAAAAAATACTTGTCATGTTAAACATTGAGCCAGAATCAAAGAAATCCAGGTACCTTATCTTTCTAAAAACATCATGGGATTTTAACTGAGAAACACATCTGCACACACTCATAAAACTCAGAATAGCTTCAAGAATTTTACTTTTGAATTTACATTGTTGAAAACAGTTTTTGTTGCATGACACTTTCCTTTCTTTAAAATGTAAAACATGTGGAAGCTTTCATCAAAAGATAAGTTATTTTCATGATGGCACTTGATATAAAACTCAATTGTACACAAAATCTTGATAAACAGCTTTAGTCTTTCACTAGACAGTATGATTCAAAATATAATATATCCTGTCTTGGAAAAGATTCTGTAAGACAAAATAATAACTGAACATGCAAGCTTCATAACATTTCTTGTGGCTTTCTCTTACAGAAAACAAACTTGACTGGCCTAAGAATCCTGGAAACATGCTTATTCAGCTTACTCTAGGAGCCCTCAACAAAACATTCTGTCACAATACTCTTGATTTAGTGTGAGGAAAAATGGTGGCACTAAATCAAGTTTTGTCTGTACTATAGGTCCCAATATATATACTGTACATATATATTAAGTAAATATGTTCTACATTTTTGCGGATTCAATGACATGTGAATCACCTTGTATTGTACTGTGAAATAAATGCGTCTCTCTGAATTTAACTTACGGTCGCTGTGTGACGTATGAACGGATTCTCGCCACTTCCCCAGAGTAGATTTTCTCCTTGGGCACATCAGTGGGCAACACCAGTCTGAACTGGCGAATGCTCAAGTCCTCAGCACTGGCTTCCAGACCGAATTTCTCGCACAGGGCTTCCCAGAACTTCTCCTTCCACGTAATGAAATCTTCTTCCATGCTGAAATTGTCATACAGAATACAGTATATATCATCAGGATCAGCTATTCATTTTTCTTGGAACATTTTGAACCTCCAGAAGTTTACAATGCAGTAGGACACACAAATATCATTGGCACAAAGGAGTTGTTCAAACAAGAGCTTCAAACAAAAATGAAATACACAAAAGAGGTTTTCCAATAAGTGAAAACCCTCTAATTTGGAACCCAGTAGTTGTGGAAATGCGCCATGAACTTTTTAATCACGATCTGATTAATTAATTTTCAGAAGACTAGGAAAATATTAACTGCATCTCTTCCTGTTTTTGGAATTCTCAAGCTCTGTTAGAGAACTTCTGAAGGTAATCTTTTTATGCAAGAGGATGTATGCAGAAAAAGGTCTCAAGGAAATCAGTCAGTTTGTTTCCCGTCTGAAAGATTTTTCACGAAGGCTTAGAAAAATTGGCTGAATTTGAGTTCTAATTAAGACTTACACATTTATGTAGAGTATTCCTTTTACTAACTTCCAAATAAATGTTGGTCAATTCACATGATGCACTCAACACTAGAGGAATCTAGAACTCAGGTTGAGTCAGTTCAAAAATGACATGCTTCTAAGATTGACAGTGAGAACACCTCAACCCAATTTGAGTATTTGAATTTTCTGCCTGCACGGTGCAATTTTGAGCTACAGTATTATACAAAATATCAAAAATCCATGAGAATTTCCTCATTCTATATGGGTTGAGACAGACACTAGATTCGACAGAAACTCGATTCAAGTGACATCTACCCATAACTAAAAACTGATCACTGATGGTCGGAGTATTCTTATAAATGTAATGAAATCGAAGTTTCTCACTGCACTGTAATATTTTTTGGTAGTCTTGATAAGTTAAAAGCTGACGGGAGATTTTATTATTCCATTGAAAAGTCCACTCACTTCGCATCGTCATCCCCAAGTCCAAGATCATAAATTCGATTCCCGCCAAGGTCTTCCAGCTTCTTGTCTATTTCAATCCCGGTAGCATTGTAACTTTCGGGGCCCCCTTTTTCTTTCCTCTGTGGATGCTTGTTGCATAACAAACTGAAAAGACACTATGTGTGACACGCACTTCACACCAAAAACACCAGCAAAAAATATCCGATCTCTCAAATTACAATTTCTTCACATTCAACAACAAGCTTTAAAAAAAAGGTTTGGACAAAATCTAAATAGAACTGTCCCAAAAAGTACAAGAGTAAGAGCTACATTTTTCGATGCAATTCAGATGCAAAGTGACGCAGTCGTGACTTCAGCTTTTTCTCAGTCGTCAAACCTTCAAAAAAAAAATTTCTGACAAAATTATAATAGTGTACATCATCTCACGAGCGAAGGATATCCGAGACAAAGACACTGAACACAAAACGTCAGCATTTTTCTTCACTTCTCTCTAAACTCGGCAAAAAGGGAGATAAGCGAGGTCACATCACGAGGTTTGGGTGACTCCATACAATGAACAACTTGTAACTTCGTGATAGATTTTTATCATTCGTAGATTATCTTTCCATCGAGATCCAAAATCAGATTACAGTATCCAACAGGAAAAGAAAGATATAAATTGATTCCCACACGCTTGGAGGTGAATCTCAGGAAAATACAGGGTCCCATCATTGAAATT